TGATGTGGTGCTACATTCATATTGGTGCAAATACTATGTGGCAGGGAGAGAATGTTTCGCTGGAAAGGATTGTGGGTTCTCGCATGATGCAACTGGTGTGAGGTGCGTCCAGTTTGCTCGGTCTGGGAAGTGTCGATTTGGTGACAGGTGTGTCTTCGAGCATGGTGTTCCGTTGGAAAAACAGAGGCCAAGGTCTCCAAGGACGCCCCCAAGGGATGGTCCAAGGAGAAAGTCTGGTGCAAATGGTGGAGAAAAGGAGATCCCTCCTGAACAGTTCGATGATGATGAGGAGGATTTTATGGTTTATGACGAAGAGACCAAGATGACGGAACTGTTGATGGAGGCGATTTCATTTCTCTCCGGTGGCAAGCCAGATTTGGCTCGAGCAGAGGCGGACCCATTGTTCAAACTCCTGAAGTTCACTGGAGATGCTGACCAAATGGATCAAGTATGGGTTTCGTGGACCACTGAAATGTTGTCAGTGCTGGAACTTCTCGAAGTAGTGAAGTCGTATGATGTTTCGCTCGCGGAGGTGGAAGAATGGGTCAATGACCTGAGGATATGGTATGAGCGAGCCAATTTGGGAGAAGAAAAGGATCCCAAAAAAGGGAAAAAGAGGTCCCTAGAAGGGGAGTCCAGCAAAGATATTCCTGCCGAAAAAGAAGTGGTTGAGACTTCGGAGACGGAGGTTGCCGTTGAAGAAGAGAAGAAAAAGGTAAAAAAGAAGAGGAAAGCTGCAGCTATCGAAGATCCTTACACTCTCATGGTTCCAAAGCCGAAGAAGATGCCGACGATCATTGAGAAGGGTGGATCAACATCCAATGTGGTGGCTTCTGCAGTGGAAAAATCCTCGAAGACGCGCACAAAGTCAAATGTCGGTGGAAAGACAAAGAAGAAGGAGAAAAGTCAGAGTCCCAAAAAAGAAGAGGTGGTAATGGTGCAAGATCCTGAGGAAAAGGATCGTCCATCCGATGCGGAGGCACCAGGGTCTGCCAATGCGAATGAAGAGCTGGATCAATCTTGCCAGGCGATTGAGGATGCGAAGAGAGAAGGATTGGTATCCTCAATTCAAAGGGGCATACAGGATCCTATTCTTACGATTTCGGACCTGGAGTATATTCTGCTGCAACTTCACCTCAAGATTGCCAACAATCGGAAAAAGAAGTGATTGGATGGTATGGATGAAGGGATGGTTTTTCTCTTTCTGGAGACCGGTGCGCTGGAACAGCCAATGTGCTGACAATGTGGTTACTATTAAGGGTATGGAAATCCCTGATAGTAGGAGTCAGTAGCTTTTCGCGTAGCGAAGACCACGGTTTGTGGTGAAGAAGGCCAAGGAGTCTTCAGTGATGAGAGGATCAAGGTGAAAAAAGATTCTCTATGGGTAGTAGGTTAGCCAATGTGCTATAATTCCGTCCTGGAAGACGTTAAACCACAATTTGCATTTCAAGCAGCTGGCTGCTGCCGTAATGGCAGTTTTTGGCCAAAAGATCTGCATCTCCAATGTGTCCTAGGAAATCCTAGGACAGGGGGAGTGCGGAGCTGCAATTGGTATTGTAGAAAGGAGTTAGTGTTGGAAGTTGGAAGGGTTAATGAACCCGGTAATCGTATTTGGCTCAAGATGGGCTTGAACAGAAAGCCACAAGTTCAAAAAGTAGTGCCTGGGTTCTTAGGGTTTGGTAAGGGTGTGGATTCCTTCCCCCTTTCCTTCCCCCCTGGGTTGCTCTTATCCGTGTTCTTGGTTGTTTCTTGGTTCGATCTGGGAAATATAAGTTCAGGGCGATTAGGGGAGTTGATTTCCTTCCTTGGTTGTCCCCCCGTATAGGGTTTAGGGTTTAGGGTTTAGGGTTTAGGGTTTAGGGTTTAGGGTTTAGGGTTTAGGGTTTAGGGTCTAGGGTTAAGGGTTAAGGGTTTAGGGTTGAGGGTTTAGGGTTTGGGGTTTGGGGTTTAGGGTTTAGGGTTTAGGGTTTAGGGGGTTCTGGGGCTTAGGGTTTAGGATTAAGGGTTAACAAAACTGCGGTTGCTGTAATCACGGAACACAAAAACGATGATAAACACCCTATATCCATCTTAGGATGACTCGCTGTCACCTTCTGACCCAAAACCCTAAACCCTAAACCCTAAACCCTAAACCCTAAACCCTAAACCCTAAACCCTAAACCCTAAACCCTAAACCCTAAACCCTAAACCCCTAAACCAAACCCTAAACCATAACACCCTAAACCCTAACCCTAAACCCTAAACCCTACCCCCCCCCCCCCCCCCCAAAAAAAAAAAAAATCCTTTGGTTCCTGAACAGCCAAAGAGGCTGTTGCGATTTGTGCTCCATGCCCAGATTCTTGAAGATGATGTCGACCGGGGCCGTCTCATCCTTAACCAACCCTCAACATACAACGCCTCTTCGACTATTTCCTTAAGAACCACCCCCCAAAAATTCAAAAAGCGTTTCTTCCTGATAAGGGCAATAGAGGGATTCTTGTTTTGTACCTTTTTTGGTTCTTAAGCAAATAGTAGTCTTGGGTTTCGAGCTTAGAGCTTAGGGTTCTTGGGCGTTGGGCCTTCGGAAGTCTGATCTGCTTTGGTAACTCTAAACCCTAAACCGTAAACCCTAAACCCTAAACCCTAAACCCTAAACCCGTGAAGGGCTTAGGGCTTATGAAGGGCTTGGGGGGATTGGGCTTGTCCTTCCCAGGCTCCAAGGGCTGCTTTTGTTGGATGGTAGGGCTTAGGGTTTAGGGTTTAGGGTTTAGGGTTTAGGGTTTAGGGTTTAGGGTTTAGGGTTTAGGGTTTAGGGTTTAGGGTTTAGGGTTTAGGGCTTGGGGTGTACTACCCGAAGGTGGAAAAACCTGCTGCTCCTGCAAGCCAGGCAACTCCGGCGGCGAGCGCTGCCTTTAGGGCCTGCTTAAACAGTGGCCGGGCGCCCTTTTTCAGCCTCAGGTTCGTCAACACAAAAAAACCAAACCCATAACCGCCAAAACCCAGGCCCCCTAGATTTCAGGACGTGCGCTCGCTACCCGGAGGACAGATTTAGGCAACCTTACATCCCTTATATCAGGATCGGAAAGTCTTTGTTGGTCACGTTAGACAAGTTCTCGAAATCCCTGTTAAGACCTAGTAACCCTCGGAGGGCATGTTGCTCCTTGCAACCCCTAGACCCTCTAAGCCCTAAACCCCAAAAACCTACATGTAAATCCTCAACCCTAAACCCGAAACCCTAAACCCTAAACCTGAAACCCTAACCCTATACCCTAAACCCGAAGCATCTGAACGCCCGCCAACCTGGCAAAGTCCGAGCAGCACGCCGGTAGCGGGGCCGCCAGCAAGAATCCCGTTACCTCGGGGCAGCAGCTCCCATATGGTTTAGGGTTTAGGGTTTCGGGTTTCGGGTTTCGGGTTTAGGGTTTAGGGTTTAGGGTTTAGGGTTTAGGGTTTAGGGTTTAGGGTTTAGGGTTTAGGGTTTAGGGTTCCAAAAAAACCATAGGTTCAGGGGAATAAACGCTTCGGCTTGACAGCGAAGAGGCTTGCTTGCAGTTGGAGAAGGCTTCTGAAGTTCCGGTGTTGACTGTTTCGAGTGCTCTGAGACCGAATCCCGCTAGAAGAGCCCCAAGCCCTCAACCCTAAACCCTAAACCCTAAACCCTGAACCCTAAACCGTATAAACCCTAAGCCCTAAACCCCAAAAACTTCAACCCTCAACCCTAAACCCCCCAAGACCCTCAACCAGAGACCCGAAGGTCTTGAGCCCGGGGGCGATTGAATGGCTTATCTCCCACGGGCCAGTCGAGGAACACACGGCCACCGTTGCCTGTGTGTGTGTGTAGGGCTTAGGGTTTAGAGTTTGGGGTTAGGTTAAGGGTAAGGTTACGGTTTAGGGTTTCGGGTTTCGGGTTTAGGGCTTAGGGCTTAGGGTATAGGGTTTAGGGTTGAGGGTTGAGGGCTGAGGGTTGAGGGTTGAGGGTTTAGGGTTTAGGGTTTGGGGTTTGGGGTTTAGGGCTTAGGGTTGAGGGTCGAGGGTTGAGGGTTGAGGGTTTGGGGTTTGGGGTTTGGGGTTTGGGGTTTGGGGTTTGGGGTTTGGGCTTTGGGGTTTCGGACTTAGGACGTAGGGTGTCGGCTTTCCCCCTCGGAAAAACCAGAAAACGATTTGAAGAACCCCACAAGCAACAAAAATGTATACTACTGAACGTCCGGCGTTGCTCTTCCGAGGCTCGGAAAGCCTTTGGCGTTCTCCAAGACTAGGGTCTACTATAGGGGCCGAAATACTTAGAATATGGTTTGGGGGGGTATATTAGTATATTTCTGAAGGGGCCATTAAGGGAATACTAGCAGTATGTATTCCGACCCCTATGTTAAGCTTCGAGTCCGGGCTTAGGGTTCAGGGTCTAGGGAAATGTTTGGAGTTCAGTGTTCAGGCGGGTGTTGCGGGTTCAGGGTTTCGTAGCAAAGCTTGGGGTCAAGAAGGTTCAGGATTGCGCACCGACTTTGTTCTGATAGGGGGAGCGATGCAAAACTACTGCTCATGAAGTTCACGAACAGGTTTAGCCACCAACCTAGAAAAAGCTTTTCATAAAATGGATTATCCTGGGCCTGATACGGCACATGTAAAGACCTAGCTGAGGAAACAACCACAAACCCTCCACCCTCAACCCGAACCAAGGAAGAGGTGGGGTTTAGAGTTTAGGGTTTCGGGTTTAGGGTTTAGGGTCTCGGGTTTAGGGTTTAGGGTTTAGGGTTCGGCTTTAGGGTTTAGGGTTGAGGGTCACTTTTGGAGGATCCTCCCAGAGATTCTTGAGCAGAATAGCAACCCGGCAGCAGAAAGGTAACTCTGGCCACAACACGAAGTTAACCCTAAACCCAAGGCCCAAAACCCTAAGCCCTAAACCCGAAACCCGAAACCCTAAACCCTAAACCCTAAACCCTAAACTCTAAACCCGAACCTCTACAGGGATCAAAGGTTCAAAGTTTAGCAGAAAAATGGCAACCTGCCGAGAGCAGCCTGGCAACAGCTTGCCTTCTGGATGCAGATGGAAGGCCTTGGCTACAAGCAGCGGCGATTTGGAGACTGGTTGCCTAAACCCTAAACCCTAAACCCTGAACCCTGAACCCTAAACCCGAAACACTAAACGCTAAACCCTAACCCTAAACCGCAGAAACATTCAAATGGCACCTCGCCGCGGGCATGAAGAAGGCTTTGCGTGCTTTACTAGTTGACAAAGCTTCAGGGCTGCGTGTTTGATGAACAAGCCTTGGGAACTCAATGCCCTCGGCCGCCTCAACATTCCTTCGTCTGGAATAATCCCTAGGACCCTGAGAAACGCAACCTGCTGAACCCAAGTCTCTTCCACTCCGAAACAGCCGTCCAGAACCCTGAACTACACACCCAACCCCAAACTCCAAACCTCAAAAACCAAACCCTAAACCCTAAACTCTCAACCCCAAACCCTCTCTTAATGCAGACAAATGACAGAGCCGATGGGCTTCGGAACTCTGCGGGCGTGGAGGAAGCCGGGACAAAGCCAAAAGACCTCTTGGGCTTTTGGGATTCAGGGTTAGGGTTTACAGGGTTTAGGGTTGGGGGTTTGGGGTTTCGGGTTAGGGTTCAGGGTTCAAGGGCTTAGGGCTTAGGTTTCAGGACCTCTTGGGCTTCGCGTTTGGAATCTGGTGACATTGGAGTTCACGCCCTTCATGGAAACCCCGACACCCTAGGCCCTTCAGACCCCTAAACCCTCGAAGAGGTGACCCAAGTCGCGTCTGCCTTTGGGGTTCAGGGTTTAAGGTTTCGGGTTTAGGGGGTTTAGGGCTTAATTAGGGTTTAGGGCTTAGGGTTTAGGGTTGAGGGTTTGGGGTTTAGGCCAAAATCATTGTCCTAAACCCTGGAGGCAGCACAGCCTCTGACCCCGCAACTCCAAAACCCAACACTCTTGAACCCTGGCCCGACCCGGACCCCCCTCCCCCCCCTCAAAAAAAAAAAACTTTAAGCCCGAATCCCCGAGCCTAAACCCACAACCCAAAGCCCTAAGCCCTAAGCCCCAAACCCCAAACCCCAAACCCTAAACCCCAAACCCTGAACCCTAAACCCTAAACCCTACCCTAAACCCTAAACCCGAAACCCTAAACCTCGCCTGCCACGTAGATGGCAGCTGCTGGATGCTTCTGTGGAGTTCGCTGCGGAAGTTCCTGATGAACACGGTGTCGTCTTCGGCGAAGATGGCTGCGTCACCCAGCACATCCTCCCAAGGAATCAGGGTTCAGGGTACAGGGTTTAGGGGCCAGGGTTTAGGGTTCAGGGTTTAGGGTTCGGAGTGTAGGGGTTGGTTGGGTGCTGGGAGGGTCTCTGGGTCTCTTGGGCTCATTGGGGAGCCATGAGGAATAGGTAATCTCTGAACCCCGAGCCCCAAACCCTAGAACAAACAAACCCTGAACCACTAAAACCCCCAAACCCTAGAACCCGAAACGAAAGAACCGAAAACCACACACCTTAAAGCCTTAAAACCCAAACAATCAACCCGCCAAAGCCCTCAAACCCCAAACCCATACATCTTAGGGCTCAGTGTCATGGACCTAAACATAAACCCTAAACTCCCTCGCCCACCCCCAACCCCTAAAACCCCAAGCGCCAAACACCCAACACCACACGCTTAAAGCCTAACACCCAAAAACCCAAAAACCCTAAGACCCGAGAACCCGAACACCCTAAAACCCTCAAACCCTAAAAACCCTACAACCCTAAAACTCTTAAAGCCCAAAAACCTTAGATCCTCAAACGCTAAACCCTAACCCTGAACCCTAAACCCTACACCCTAAATCCCAAACCCTAAACCCTAAACCCTGAACCCTTCTTCGGTCCTTCTCCCAGACCTTCAAGCCCACCAAGAACTCCACGGCCAGAGCACGTGTCTTGGATGACCCGCGGTGCCCTCATGCCCTTTAAGTATTTAGGATTTAGGGTTTAGGGGTAGAGCGCTATTTGGAATGTTAGAGAGTTTCGAGTCTAGGGTTGAGGGTTTAGGGGGTTATGGCTTTAGGGTTCAGGGTTTCGATTGTGCAGGGCTTGCTCTCCCCCCCCCCCACCCACCAAAAAAAAACCAAAAACAAGAAAACCACGAGAACGAGATGCGCCGTTTCTCTGAAGAACCTTCAACCCCAAACCCCTAAACCCTAAACCCCTAAACTCTAAACCCTCAACCCTAAACCCTAAACCCTTCTTAGGCCTCCGAGGAACCTTCTTCCCAGGTTGAGATGACCTTCAACTTCAACCCTAAAGCCTAAAGCCTGAACCCTAAACCCTATAGGGTTTATACACCCTAAACCCTGAAGCCTTCTTAGGCTTCTCAGAAGCCTTCTTCCCAGGTTGAGATGAGAAAGAACCTTCAACTTCAACCCTAAACCCTAAACCCTAAACCCTAAACCCTACACCCTAAACCGTATAGGGTTCATAAACCCTAAACCCCAAACCCCAAACCCCAAACCCCAAACCCTAAACCCTAAACCCTAAACCCTCTGAGGAGCCTTCTTCCCAGGTTGAGATGACAGCCGCATGCACTTGAGGCCCTCCTTCGCGCATCGAGCACGGAGTCGCTCCGTTCGGTGCTGGCCCACCTTGTTGCCCTTGCTGCTGAAGAAAACCTTAGCGGGTTTAGGGTTTAGGGTTTAGGGTTTAGGGTTTAGGGTTTAGGGTTTAGGGTTGAGGGTTTAGGGTTTGGGGTTGGGTTGAGAGTTGAGGGTTGAGGGTCTGCTGAAGAAAACCTTAGTGGCCCTAAACTCCCCTAATTTCCCCTAAACTCCCCTAAACTCCCTTAAACAAGCTCCCCAGACTCCCCCGAGTTTGGTGGGGTGGGGGGGCTTTGAGGTTTGGGCGCTTTGGGGGGGCTTGTTGAGGGTTCAGGCCCTAAACTGGCCCTAAACCCTAAACCCTAAAACCCTAAACCCTAAACCCGAAACCCGAAACCCTAAACCCTAAACCCTGTCAACCTTAAGCGGTGAAGCCGTCCATGGCTTGGAGGAGGTCGCGTTGCTACCATGGTCGGCGACCTGGAGCACTTCCAGCGTGTCGGGATCGTAACGAAGGTCCATCAAGCCAGTCCTCTTAGGGTTTAGGGTTTAGGCTTTAGGGTTTAGGGTTTAGGGTTTAGGGCTTAGGGCTTTAGGGTTTAGGGTTTATGGGTTTATGGGTTTATGGGTTTATGGGTTTATGGGTTTATGGGTTTATGGGTTTATGGGTTTATGGGTTTATGGGTTTATGGGTTTATGGGTTTATGGGTTTATGGGTTTATGGGTTTATGGGTTTATGGGTTTATGGGTTTATGGGTTTATGGGTGTATGGGTTTATGGGTTTAGGGTTTAGGGGTTTAGGGTTTAACTCGACTCTGCTCCCTTCCCTACCCTGCTCCACCCTACTACACCTCTACCCTACCCAGTCGTCTGGAAACCGAAACAAAACGAAGAGTTTGGCACAAACAGCTGTATCTTTTGTCAGCTTGTCCCAAAAATCTAAACACAAAAGCCTATGTAAAAATAAGAAGACCTACACCCTCAACCCGAAACACTAAACCCCCTAAACCCCAAACCCTGTCCTAAACCCGAAACCCCAAACCCCAAACCCCAAACCCCCCCCCCCCCCCGCCCAAAAAAAAAAAAAAACATCTTAAAACACAGCCCGCCGAGGGTCCAGTTGCCGCTGGCGATCCGCCGCAAGCCCTCAGACGTCAGAGCTGCGCCACTGTCATTCAGAGCCGGAGACAGGAAGCCCCGTTGTCCTTGGAAGCCCAGTAACCCATATTTGAATAAGGGCTAGGGTTTAGGGCTTAGGGTTTAGGGTTTAGGGTTTCGGGTTTAGGGTTTAGGGTTTAGGGTTTAGGGTTTAGGGTTTAGGGTTTAGGGTTTAGGGTCACTTTACAAGTGAACCCACAACGGAAAGAAGGGTAAAGGGTACCACTGGGGCTACCAAGCTTCGGAGGCCCCGGGTTTCAAGGCTCAAGGCTCCAGCCGTCCCTTGCAGGAGGCAGAGCGCAAGACTTGCCAGGAGTGCCAGCATTTTTGTTGGCCGAAAATCTGGCGAGAGGCTTCCCCCCCTCCTCCAAAAAGCAGGGGGGTGAACCAGGTAGTAGATCGTGGGAAGCGTGGGGAAACTTCCTCCTGCGGCCTTGAGCCACAAGCTGTGCGGGCCGGGAGCACGGTGAAAATCCGAACCTAACTGATAAACCCATAACCCCATAAACCCGTAACCCCATAAACCCATACACCCCTAAACCCTAAACCCTGAACCTTGAACCCTGAACCCTAAACCCTGAACCCTAAACTCTGAAGCCAAAGCTTTGCTGCATCACCCCTGCACCTACACCCTACTCAACCCCCAAATCGATGAGAGCCCCATGAACCCTGCAAGCCCCAAGCCCCAAAGCCCTATCAGCCTGTAAGCCCTAAACCCTACACCTTGAGCCCCAACCCTAAACCCTAAACCAACCCTAAACCCTAAACCCTAAACCCTAAACCCTAAACCCTAAACCCTAAACCCTAAACCCTAAACCCTAAACCCTAAACCCTAAACCCTAAACCCTAAACCCTAAACCCTAAACCAAACCCTGAACCCTAAAAGCTAAACCCCGAGCCCTGGGCCCCTCAAGCCGAGGCCTACATACCCTAAGCCCCACTCAAGCCCGAACCTGACACCAAGACTGGACACCCTGCCACCCGGGTACGGTCACAGCATCGCAGCCCCTTGCTGTGGGCACCTTGATGAGCGTAGGCTCAGGGTTTAGGGTTTAGGGTTTAGGGTTGAGGGTTTAGGGTTTAGGGTTTAGGGTTTAGGGTTCAGGGTTCAGGGTTCAGGGTTCAGGGCTTCGGGCTTCGGGTTTAGGGCTTGCCTGGGGCCCTATTCTCTTCGGTCCATGTTCAGCTAGACCCAAGAGTCACCTCGAATGATAAAGGGTGCCCTGTTTGGAGTACTAGGGCTTATAAGGGAACCTAGACCCTTACAAACAAGGGGAATAGGGCCTACTCTGGGTCCTTAGTCTGGGTAGGGCGTGTTTACGTAGTAACCCTAAACCCTAAACCCTAAACCCTAAACCCTAAACCCTAAACCCTGAACCCTGAACCCTAAACCCTTCACCCTGACCCCTTAGCTCTCAACCTGCTCATTGATCCCAGGCCCGGAATCCCTCCAGGGGTCACTTCACATAACCCTCTCTTCCTAAACCCTAAACCCTAAACCCTAAACCCTAAACCCTAAACCCTGAACCCTGAACCCTAAACCCTAAACCCTAAACCCTAAACCCTAAACCCTAAACCATAAACCCTAAACCCTAAACCCGAAACCCAGCCCAGGCCTGGCAACAAGCGCAGACAACCCTGCGGCTCCCACACACAACATCCTCTGCACCCTCCTTGAAGACCTATCGGAAAGAAACTCTCACATAAGGTTAGGTTTTAGGGTTTAGGGTTTAGGGTTTAGGGTTTAGGGTTTAGGGTTTAGGGTTTAGGGTTTTGGGTTTGGGTTTTGGGTTTTGGGTTTAGCCTTCAAAACTCGAATCGGATTTTTTTTGGGGGGGAGCTCTTATACTTATAGTATTATGGATTCGGGACTACAAGGGAATACAGTACTAGCAATTATTCAGACCCCTATCTTACGCTTTTCCACGCATAAACCCCAAGCTCGAAACCCTTCAAGAAAGCTTCATTTAACCGTCTTCCTAAACCCTAAACCCTGAACCCTAAACCCTACACCCTAAACCTTAAACCCTACCCTATACCCTGAGCCCCCTTAGGCAGCCTGGACGCGAGAACTGGAAGAGCTGCCTTCGCGAAGCAGGCGCTCAGGCCTCAACAGCCAGGGCTCAAGACTTCGGGCTCTCAGGGTTTCGGGGTTTCGGGGTTTCGGGGTTTCGGGGTTTCGGGGTTTCGGGGTTTAGGGGTTTAGGGTTTAGGGTCTAGGGTGTAGGGTTTAGGGTGCACGAGTTGGCTTTGTCATTTGGCTCAGGATCTAGGGAATCCGGTTCAGAAGAGGGTTGAGGAATGCAGGGTTGAGGAAGGGTTGAGGTTTCTGGCTGGGTTCGAGACTGAGGGGGTGCTCATCGGGTTTAGGCGGCTTAGAATGCAGGAAGTAGGCTTAGGGTTTAGGGTTTATGGTTCAGGGTTTAGGGTTTGAGGGTCCCTAAACCCTAAACCCTAAACCCTAAACCCTAAACCCTAAACCCTAAACCCTATAGGGTTGACGGACCAATGAAGGAAGGCCCTCCACATCCAAGAGGGTGTGAAAGGCTAAGTTTCGTAGGATGGGGGCTTTCTGACGGAGTAAACGTTCTCTCTCTCTGTCCCAGAAAGCCATGCTCCTGAAGGTTCTGGACCCTAAACCCTACACCCTGCACCCTAAACCCTAAAACCCTAAAACCCTAAACCCTAAACTCTAAACCCTATCTGTTCAGCTTGGCGACGGGAATCGTTGTCCTGCCTGCTACAGTTTTCAAAGACGGTCCGGACCTGGTAGGACTCAGCTGCTATGGCAAAACCCCAAAACCCCCAAACCCCAAACCCGAAACCCTAAACCGGAAACCCTCAACCCTAGACCCCACGGTTTACGGCCGAGGATGAAGAAACTGAGGATGGCCGGAATGCCAAAACCAGATACACCTATGAATTTAGAGTTAGGGGGTTTAGGGTTTAGGGTTTAGGGTTTTGGGTTTCGGGTTTGGGGTTTGGGGTTTAGGGTTTAGGGTTTATGGTTTAGGGTTAGGGTTTTTAGGGGTAAGGAGGTTTTAGAGTATTTAGCTTGCAGGGCCCTGGGGACCTAAGGCCTTAAACCACCTAAACCCCCAAAACCCTAAAACCCCTAACCTCTTGCCTCTGCGTGTCGCAAAGCCAATGCCACACAAGAGCAGCACTCGGCAACACCGCAGCGTTCCGGGAGTCACCATGGCTGGCTCGCCCCGAGCCTAGCAAGTCACTAAACCCCCCAGACTGCCCTACGGTAAGCCCGAAGCCCGCAAGCCCCAAACCCTAAACCTCCACCAAAACCTGCGTCCTATAAACGCCACAGCAAGAGCCTAAGCTCGGATTGTGACCGTGAGGATCTAGGACGCTTTAGGTTTTGGGGGGATGGTACCCTAAGCCCTAAACTAGAACCCTAAATACCAAACCCCCGAACACCGGCCCTGGAGCCCAAGCCCCAAGAATCCAGCGTTTGAGCTTGAGGGCTGGAAGGCACAAAGATTCTAGGGCTGAGGGCGGAATGATGTGGAATGAAGATCGAGGGTTTCGGGTTTAGGGTTCGGGGTCTAGGGTTTGGGGTTAGGGTTTAGGGTTCAACTGATGGCAACACTGGGCTCTTTGGAGACACCGCGCGACTTGCAACGTTTTTGTCGGGTGGAGTAGGAAGTCTCGGGGAGACCTTGCAAGCTTAGGGGTTTCAGGTTCGGGGTGCATTACGGGTTCTCCCACCGCAACACTCAAAAACCCGAAGCGAAAAATCAAGTCCCACATGTCCCCCTAAACCCTAAACCCTAAACCCTAAGCCCTAAACCCCTAACCCCTAAAACCTAACCTAAACTCCAAACCCTAATTCAACCCTAAACCCTAAACCCTAAAAACCCTGAACCCTAAAACCCTAAACCCTCGACGCGCCTTTTTGATCTTTCCTGTGGCCGCTCGTCAGTCCCGCCTTGAGCGAGGACCTTCGAAGACTCGGACAGGAATCCGCGGACGTTCAGCGCTGCACTTGGCGACCGCGTTGAGGTTCGTCCAATCCTGCTCTGGGTTTAGGGTTTAGGGTTTAGGGTTTAGGGTTTAGGGTTTAGGGTTTAGGGTTTAGGGTTTAGGGTTTAGGGTTTAGGGTTTAGGGTTTAGGGTTTTAGGGTTTAGGGTTTAGGATTTAGGGTTTAGGGTTTTAGGGTTTAGGGTTTAGGGTTTGTTTGCCTTCCGGGATGAGAGGGGTTTGGGGCTTGGAATCCGAGGGGTGAAGTGCAGACCCCTTTTTGTTTAACATGCCCTAAACCCTAAACCCTACACCCTAAACCCTCAACCCGAAACCCTAAACCCTTATTAACGTACCCCTGAGCCCCTCATGAAGGGTACTTGGGGGGTTGCGGGTACGCGCCCAGCTTTGGGCGTTCTCCTTTTCTTCAGATAAACACACAGCGGCATGCCATGGTTCGTGCGATACTGTGGGCTTAGGATCCTGTTGATGTAGGATCCGGACAAGAGGTTTTGGTTGGGTTTCTAGCCTTTATAGAGGTTTCTCGGGTTCAGGGTTGGAGCCTTCGTTAAGCTGTTGCCTGTGCCCGACAAACTCGAAACAGGGGGATGAATGCTAAGCCTACCTCAAAATATCTAAACCCTGAACCCTAAACATTCAACCGTAAACCCTAAACCCAAACCCCAAAACCCGGACTAACCCTAAACCCTAAGAACCCTAAGCCCTAACTAAGCCCTAAGCCCTAAGCCCTAACCCTAAACCCTAAACCCTAAACCCTAAACCCTAAACCCTCAACCCTCAACCCTCAACCCTAAACCCTAAACCCTAAACCCTAAACCCGCCCCCCACTCTTTTGTCTTTTGGGGTAGGCGGGCGCCGGTCGAGCGCTCAGTGAGACCCTGCGAGGGAGCCCCAGGCGGGCGACCGAGCTGGTTTCCAGGCTGGCTTACCCTGCAGGCAAGCACAGGTTATATTTTTTGACCCTAAACCACACGTTGGCGCGCATTGTTGGGTCCTGCATTGGAGGCCCCCCCTGCGGGGCGGGGGCGTTTTGTTGGGGCAAGCTGGAGGACCCCCAAGAGCCGTGAGTGCTGACCCATGTGATGCTATGTAAACAAATAAAAGAAGGTCCTAATTCCTTGAGATTTGTAAGTGGGCGGTCTTGGGGTGGGTAGGTCTGTTGACGACTGCGCGCTCCCAAAGCGCGCTTCTAACCCTAAACCCTAAAACCGGGGTTCGAGGACTTGAGGTCGCAGATGCCTCTCGCTTCGACATGTGCTTGGCCATTTCGGCCATCGAGTGCGCCGTCCAGGGGAACATGAGCAATCCGCCATCAAGTATGTACACCTGAGGAAGGGTTTAGGGTTTAGGGTTTAGGGTATAGGGTGTTTAGGGGGTTTAGGGGGTTTAGGGGGTTTAGGGGGTTTAGGGGGTTTAGGGGGTTTAGGGGGTTTAGGGGGTTTAGGTGGTTTAGGGGGTTTAGGGGGTTTAGGGGGTTTAGGGGGTTTAGGGGGTTTAGGGGGTTTAGGGGGTTTAGGGGGTTTAGGGGGTTTAGGGGGTTTAGGGGGTTTAGGGGTTTAGGGGGTTTAGGGGGTTTAGGGGGTTTAGGGGGTTTAGGGGGTTTAGGGGGTTTAGGGGGTTTAGGGGGTTTAGGGGGTTTAGGGGGTTTTAGGGGGTTTAGGGGGTTTAGGGGGTTTAGGGGGGTGGGGGGGGGGTTTAGGGGGTGTTAGGGGGTTTAGGGGGGGTTTAGGGGGTTTAGGGGGTTTAGGGGTTTAGTGGTGGTTTAGGGGTTTAGGGGGTTTAGAGGGGTTTAGGGGGGGGTTAGGGGGTTTGGGGTTTTAGGGGGTTTAGGGGTTTAGGGGGTTTAGGGTTTTAGGGGGTTTAGGGGGTTTAGGGGTTTTAGGTGTAGGGTTTAGGGTTCAATTGTATATGGTTTGGGTCCCAACCAACGTTTTGAGAGAAACGCATTGAGAGAAACTTTTTTTTGCTTCTTGGTTCCTTGAAAGTTGCTTTTGGGAACCTACTTTGGAGGGGGGGTTGGGGGGGTTGGGGGGGGGGGGGGGGGGGGAGGGGCAGGGGGGGGGGGGGGGGGGGGGGGGAGGGGAGGAGAAGGGGAGGCTGGGAAAGGAAGTCCCCAGAGGTTTAAGTAAATTGAGAATTTGGCCTCCCAGAGGTGTTTTGGATTTTTGTAATTTAAACTCAGCTTGTCAGCTGCTTAGGCAAATAACCTGAGAAACTCAGCATGATACCACATACAATTTCTAGATATGTATTTTGTCTTGAGGGTTTAGGGTTTAGGGTTCAGGGTTCAGGCTTCAGGCTTCAGGCTTCAGGCTTCAGGGTTCAGGGTTTAGGGTTTAGGGTTTAGGGTTTAGGGTTTGGGGTTTGGGGCGAGAGGTCCAGCTTTCGGATTGCTTTTTGTTCCAGGGTTTCGGGCTTTAGGTAGGCTTGTTGGGTTTTGCTTCAACTTGAAAACTGCAAAACAAAATTCCTGAACCCCCCCCCCCCCCGAACCCAAAACCCGAATCATCTTCAACCTCTACGCCCACGAAGATGCGGATGCGTCGCAGGCGGCTTGACGTGGAAGGCGTGGTTGTGATTTCCAATGGAATCCGCCTAAAAGGGTGAGAGGAGGGGGGGGGGGGTACAGGGTGTTAAAAACCCTAAACCCTAAACCCTAAAGCCTAAAGTTTAGTTTTAGGGTTGATCTCATACTATAGGCCCATTTTGGGTATCAGCTTACGGTACCGTACCCTAAACCCTAAACCCTAAACCCTAAACCCTAAACACTAAACACTAAACCCTAAACCCATTCAGCATGGCCAACAAAAGCCGCGGCTTCTCTTGTCACGTGCCGCTGACCGCCATATCTCGTTGCGGCCCCCTGATCTCGAGTGCATAGGGTTTAGGGTTTAGGGTTTAGGGTTTAGGGTTTAGGGTTTAGGGTTTAGGGTTCAGGGTTCAGGGTTCAGGGTTTATTTGGTCCATAGGTCTGAAAGAAAAAACACCCTCAGCCCGCAACAAAAGCAACTCTTCGCCTTTGGGCCAAAGGCCCTAAGCCCCCCAGAACGCCCAACCCTAAACCCTAAACCCTAAACCCTAAACCCTAAACCCTTTCGCACCTCGTGGTTCACCGTGACGAAGCCGAACCCTGTCCCGGGGCCGTTGTGGAATCCGGGGCCAGGTGAGCAAAAGCCGGCTCCAGGAAGACCTCGCTTTGGGTGTTTAGGGTTTAGGGTTTTAGGGTTTAGGGTTTAGGGTTTAGGGTTTAGGGTTTAGGGTTTAGGGTTTAAGGTTTAGGGTTTAGGGTTTAGGGTTTAGGGTTTAGGGTTTAGGGTTTAGGGTTTAGGGTTTAGGGTTTAGGGTTTAGGGTTTAGGGTTTAGGGTTTAGGGTTTAGGGTTAGGTTTTAGGGTTTAGGGTTTAGGGTTTAGGGTTTTGGGGTTCAGGGGTCTTAGGGTCTTAGGGTTCAGGGTTTACGGCTTAGGGTTTGAGGTGGGAACTTGAAGTGTGTCGGGCTTCACCTCCACTCTGATGGTTCCGGCTTTCCAGCACACAGGGTTCACAGGGTTTAGGTCTTAGGGTTTAGGGCTCAGGCTCGTGATGGTAGTGATGTTCACACCCCTCATGAATCTAATGTTCTCGAAGCACAGCGAAACATAGCGTGGGAGGTCGGATGTTTCAATCTGCATCAAGTCCTTCACTTTCCCCACTCTCGCAAGCAATGTTAGAGAAAGAGAGCGGGGCCTCGGAACTTGGGAACCCGTGTAGGTGGAGTTTTACGCCGTCTGTGAAAAGTGCTTTTGACATTGACAGCTGGGCGAACGACCTCCCTGCCCCCCCCCCCCTGCACACCCATCTGCGTGCAATCTACTGCCGCGGCGCGGCGAAAAGCCCCAAACCCGAATCCCTTATCCCTGATTCAACCGAGACCGCAGAGTCATGGGCCAGGATACCCCTTACTTCTCCAATAGCCAACAAAAAAAAGGGTAAACTTTATTCGTCCTACAAACAAGGAAAACCCCAAAAGCTTAAAGCGTGACCTGTGCAAGCATGCCCCAAAAAAGTTTAAGGTTCAACTATTGCCTCAGTACGACCAAAAACCGAGGCCGCAAAGTCATTGGCCAGGATACCCACGGACGTTGCGACCACTTCGGCAAGGTATCCTCCGGCCAAGCTCCAGATCCGCGCTCCGGGTCTTACTGTTGTGTAAAGGTTTTAGGGTTTAGGGTTTGGGGTTTAGGGTGTAGGGTTTAAGGTTTAGGGTTTAGGGTGTAGGGTTTAAGGTTTAGGGTGTAGGGTTTAGGGTTCGATTGAGGTTGCAGTACTTACCAGGGTCTCTTGACTTGCTAAGGGGCATCTTGGTATCTTGGGAGCTTCTGGCGCTGCAAGGAATGCTGCACATGGGCTGGTCGATGCAGAGTTTCATTGTTCAGGGTCTGCGGGGCATAGGGGATGGCTTTAGGGTCTAGGGGATGGCTGAAGGCCCCAGGTGCAATGGAATGAAATGGCACCCAGCATGTGAGAAGAGAGCTGAAGTAAGGGCCAGGTGTTAAGGTTGGGGGTTTAGGGTTTACGGTTTAGGGTTTAGGGTTTAGGGTTTCGGGTTTAGGGTTTTAAGGTTTGGGCTTGTCGGTCGAGGGGTTCGAAAGGGTTGTGGCCGGATTGGGCCCAGGGATGAAGACGTCCAATTCCAAGGCCAGGGTGGTATTTGTGTTTAGGATTTAGGGTTTCGGGTTTAGGGTTTAGGGTTTAGGGTTTAGGGTTTAGGGTTTAGGGTTTAGGGTTTGAATTCGGGTCGCGAATCGGAGGCACACGAGTGCAGGAACCTCTATACATGACGAGGGTGTTTGTCATTGCTTCTGTCCAAGTGTGAGATCAACGGCCCAAGAAAGCGACATGCAAGCGCCATCTCATCAGGTCGACTGAGCTTGCTGCTCCAGCGAATTCCAGGTTGTTCACGCACCCACGCGTGGCAACTCGGCATGTTCACTTCCACAAAACCGTAAGCATCACTTGAGGCGGCAAGTAACTACTAATTGGCCTTGCAACAAGACATTGCTTTCTGACGCACAACTTGACATGAGGTCTTCGCAGAAAAATTGGCATGTCTGTGCTCGAGCTGGATGTTTTAGCCGCCCTCTTGTTGCGGAAACCTCTGCCGATTCACCGCTGCCCTAAACCCTAAACCCTAAACCCTAAACCCTAAACCTCAGTTCGGCGGCGCATGTCGCAGTGCTCGCCTTGGCCTTTTGGCCGAGTTCAAGGGCGCCTTCGCTCGCGCAATGCAGCCACTACGTAGCCGAAGCGCTCCAGCGCATGGGTACAGCAAAACCCTAAACCCTAAACCCTAAACACTACACCCCAAACGTTGAGGGCTTTTGAATTCCTTGGTAGCCTAGAAACCACAATTGGGGTTTAGCGCTTCAGGGGCGAGGGTTTAGGGTTTAGGGTTTGGGGTTTAGGGTTTGGGGTTTGGGGTTTAGGGTTTGGGGTTTGGGGTTTGGGGTTTGGGGTTTGGGGTTCGGGGTTTGGGGTTTGGGGTTTGGGGTTTGGGGTTTGGGGTTTGGGGTTTGGGGTTTAGGGTTGTGTGAATATGTGGGCCTTTATGACAATCAGGGACTCCTAATAGCAGTTCCCCAGATAGTAGGATTCCCCGTATAAGAAGGGCTCCAGTAGGGTACCCCAAATTGCGGAAACTCCCAAATTCCCTTTTTTGGGGGTTGGCTGCTTCATGTAAGCGAGCCTTGAACCAAAAAAGGGGGAAAGGTTTTCACAGTGCCACCAGGATTCAATTGCTCACAGCGCATGTTTGCCACACCACAGGGAGGATCCACGCCCTAAACCCAAAGAGACCTCAAGCAGAAACCCTAAGAACCCTCATCCCCCAAAATAAGCCCTAAACCCTAAACCCCAAATCCTAAACCCTAAACCCTAAACCATAAGAAGCCTCAACTCTAACAAAACCGGAACTCAAGGAGGGATCAGGGTTAAGTCTTCACGTGACAGCCTACCCGTGGCCGTCTGTGCTGCGTCTGCCCAGACTGTGCTGCTGCCTCCCGCCATGTATAGGAATGCTAGGTTGGCCTTGAACCGGTTACAATAAGATGACGTTGCTCATGTAGACTCCCGTATGCCGATGTGCGGCTACCCTTCGATATCCTCTTCTGTCGACATGCCCGAAATGGTTCACCCATCAAAAACCCTGATTCCTGAGCCTCAACTTCTGAGGTTGGATTTGGGGTCCCTAAGGAAAGTGCACTCTTGGACAAAATGAAATTTTTACAGGGATCTGGGCCTGGTGGGTAAGCCTAAACCCGAAACCCTAAACCCTAAACCCTAAACCCTAAATCCTAAACCCTAAACCCTGAACCCGAAACCCTAAACCCGAAACCCTAAACCCTACCCCGAAATACTCCGAATCACTGGGCAAGGTCTCCTCCAAGCGAATGTCCAGTTATCATCACATCGCAGCCCTGCTCCTGGTACATCCTGCGCCCAGCTGCGATGTCCGGGTTTAGGGTTTAGGGCCGGTTGAGAACCCAGAACCCTAAACCCTAAACCCTAAACCCTAAACCCTAAACCCTAAACCCTAAACCCTAAACCCTAAACCCTAAACCCTAAACCCTAAACCCTAAACCCTAAACCCTAAACCCTAAACCCTAACCTCCCCTTGAAGCTCAACATATAGAGAACCCGCGCCGTGAACTCCGTCCCAAGAGAGCCGAAGAACCTAACAGCTACCGAAATCTTCCCAAACCCGAAACTTGGTGTTTTTCGGGCTCAGGGTTGAGGGTTTAGGGTCGTTGCCTGCTGAGCCCAGGAAAGTTTGGTAGAGATTTAGGGGTACATGCGCACCAAACCGCTAGGCACCATCAACTCCCTAAACTCCCTAAGTCCAGCTTGATTCCATATCGTAGCACAGGCACAGGTATAGGTCGAAATGCAACCGTGAACGTAGCTTGCGTATCGCAGGCTTCTGCATATGTGAGCCCTTGGATTTCGGGGTGCTAAACCCTCAGTCCTCCTTAGGAACTCAGAAGCGAGTACTTCGAAAAAAAATGAAAAAACTTGGGCCTTCAGCCCTAAACTCTAAACCCTGAACCTTAAACGCTCAAAATCCCCAATCTCGCCCCCCCCCCCCCCCCCCACCTCGTCAACTCCGCGGCGGTTTCGACAAAAGCGCCCGGGTAGCTGTACATGACGACGGAGCGCCAATCCCGCATCCGGTCCTGTGGGAGGCCACGACAGTCTCCCCCCTATATACTACCATATGCCGTATATAGGTCTCTAATGGTCCCTATATACACCTAAGCAACCCCTACACTACCGCCTATCTACGATTGTGCATTTTCGGCTAGCTTGTGTGATATACAGGTTTGCACGGGATAAATGGTGAGATTGTTCAAGCTTCTGCAGCACAATGCCTTGCAAATAGTGAATTTAAGCTCCTCCGCGACCCCACTAACAGAAGCCTGGCACTCAACTCACGCTTGGAGATGAGGATGAAAAACCCTAAGCCCTAAACCGTAAACCCTAAACCCTAAACCCTAAACCCTAAACCCTAAACCCTAAACCCTAAACCCTAAACCCTAAACCCTAAACCCTAAACCCTAAACCCTAAACCCTAAACCCTGCTCGTGGGGTGCAAGATGCAAGGTCTGAGGCCGAGATGGTCACTGAGATGGCAGAGCTTCAACCCGAAAAATCAAGTACACCACAATCCATCTGGGCTCTTAGAATTTCCCAGAGGGTCCATTTGTAGTACCATTATGGAATTAGGTACCCCAAGACCCTATTTAGTATGGTGTTTGGGTACCTAATTCCATAATACAGGAGCGTGTCATGCGGCTTGCTATGTGAGCCGCAGCTAGATCCTAGACCCCGGTCAAACACCGTAAAATGGGGGGGGGGTGTCGAGATACATTATTGGGGTCCTTATTCTAAGGGCGTTCTACTATTATTCCCTTAAACCCTAAACCCTAAACCCCAAACCCCAAACCCTAAACCTACTATTTGGGGGTCTATATTAGGGGTGCCCTATTGTCGTAAACCCCCCCATGTCAACAATCTTGCTGCGCACACAACGCCCCGCTGCTTCGGATGTTTCAAGCTGCTGCATCGAAACCCCAAACCAGGGTTTAGGGTTTAGGGTTTAAGGTTTAGGGTTTAAGGTTTAAAGTTTAAGGTTTAAGGTTTTGGGTTTCGGGTTTAGGGTTTAGGGTTCAGGGTTCAGGGTTTAGGGTTTAGGGTTTAGGGTTTAGGGTTTAGGCTTTAGGCTTTAGGCTTTAGGCTTTAGGCTTTAGGCTTTAGGCTTTAGGTTTTAGGCTTTAGGCTTTAGGCTTTAGGCTTTAGGCTTTAGGCTTTAGGCTTTAGGCTTTAGGGTTTAGGGTTTAGGGTTTAGGGTTTAGGGTTTAGGGTTTAGGGTTTAGGGTTTAGGGTTTAGGGTTTAGGGTCAAAACCCTACGTCCCAAACGGTGAGCCCTGAACCCTAGACGTTAACCTAAACCCTCGAATGTGGATAGCTTGAAGCCATATAGATCCCAAACCCCATGTGAACTCTGAACATACAACCTTAAACTCTAACCCCCTGTAGACCCTGAACACTAAACCGATAAGACCCTCTTGACAGCAGCTTGCTAGACGTGCTTTCTTGGAGTTAATTTATATATTGGACGTGTCAACAACGACCAGATCTGTAAGCCAGAATGTGAACAGACCAAGCTTTCCCAACACTCATTCGCAAAAGAACCGCAGACACGTCCATTCATCCACAATCACAATCCACAATACCCGAACCCAAAACCCCAGGCCGTCGGAGAATCACCGTTTTTTGGATGCCAAGAATCGTGGACATCGGCAGTACCCCGAATGGTGATAACGGCCAGATCTCTCCGGCCATGCTCGCCTGTTCACGATTCTAGATTTGTATTGGAGTCACCTTCAGTCATAAACCACGTCAAGCAACCTTGCAGCAGGCCCTATCTATCTGTAAGGGAAACACTGACACAGCTTGCTTGAGTGGCTGCGCCAAGACGCCCTTTGCAAGAAGTACGGTACGTCTCTAACCGTGTCTATGCTCGCGCTGGATGCTGCCGGCAGAAAACTACAGATCCACAGCTCAACAAAGGGGCCAAGCCAGCAGGACTTCCTGGTTCTTGATAGGGAATGAGGGAACTAGGCACCCTATGTAATTCCTCAAAAGGAAATATAGGAGGATATACCGTGCCTAACTTCCGCTTTCCCATACTAAGAACCCATAAGATCGGGATCATAGCCCTGAACCTGCCGCCCTTCAGGACATTGCGGGAACTCATGCAAAAAAATGATGCCCGGGCCCTGCCTGCTGATTGGGGGAGCGTCCAGGACGGTCAGATGCATTTCACAGTGAAAAAAAATTAGCTCGTGCTTCGTAGCCGTTACCTAGCGATTCGCCCGTACAATCGTGGGGGAAGCAATGCCTTCTAGAAGCCTAGCAAGAAATCACTGGGGAAAAGACTCCGAATTACAAGGCCGCTCGCAGCCCTAACCCTCAAATTCCCACGCGAATCTCTTACAATAAACTACTATGCTCCAACAAGTGGCAGTTCGCAGAGTACAGCTGACCCGAGAGAGAGGCCTACGCGGATAATGGGGGACCCACCATTAAAACCCCCAAGTACAATAATCTTCATTATAGAAACTCCCAGCAGGATACCTACTTTCTGGAAACCCACATTTCGGGCTTCATGGTCTTTGGTTTCAGGCTTCATGGGCTGTCGGGCTCAGAGAAGGGGTCGGTCTTTGAAAGGTTGCACCCGGAACCCTAACTAAACCCTAAGCCCTAATCCCCGGGACCCTAAACCCCTTCGGGCTTGCTGGTGAGGTGTCTGTCTAAGGGAAGCGAAATCCGCATAGAGGGGGTTCCCAAATTTTACAAAGGTCCAAGGTTTAGGGTTTCGGGTATCGGGCTTTGGGGCAAAGAGGGGCGAAGAGGTCAAGAAGCCAAGAGACTTGTAGGAAGTGCAAAGTTTTGTAACTTTCTCAAGCAGGCTGTAACGTGGCTTGAGTAGCGCTTGAAGAAGGTGGCAACTTGTGTAAGAGGCTTTGTAAGGAGGGCTTCACAAAGCCAATTGGATGGCAAGGGTTCAGTGTTGAGGGTAGATGGCAAGGATGAATGCTCAAAACATCCTCAAGAAAGTGCTGAAGGGCTAAGGCGGTTTGCAGTTTAGGGTTTAGGGTTTAGGGTTTAGGGTTTAGGGTTTAGGGTTTAGGGTTTAGGGTTTAGGGTTTAGGGTTTAGGGTTGAGGGAGAAGGGTTTAGGGGTTCATCCTCCAGCCTCAATGACCCCTAAACCCGAAAGCCTACCTCCGAACAGACGCCAGCCCGATCGAAGCCTATGCCCCAGACTCCAGACCCCTTAGGGCTTTTTAGGGTTTAGGGTTTAGGGTTTGGGGTTCAGGGTTTAGGGTTTAGGGTTTAAGGTTTAGGGTTTAGGGTTTAGGGTTTAAGGTTTAGGGTTTGGGGTTTAGGGTTTAGCGTTTGGGGTTTGGGGTTTAGGGCAACCTTTGGTCCGAACGACATCCCTGCTCAACTTGTCCTCTGGATGAACATAAAGTGTGTGGAGTGAAACCGTGCCGATACTCTCCATAAACCCTAAACCCTAAACCCAAAAGCCTAAACCCTTGCCCCTAAACCCTAAACCCTAAACCCTAAGCCCTAAGCCCTAAACCCTAAACCCTAAACCCTTGCCCCTATACCCTAAACCCTAAACCCTAAATCCTAAACCCCAAACCCTAAACCCTAAACCCTAAACCCAACTCAATGCCTTAAACCCTCCTCTTCGCAGCCTTGCGGGCCGCCAGGACGCAGGAACACAGACATCTGGGCCTCGACCTGGCAGTGGATCTTCAGGGCTGGGGTTTGGGGTCAGGCTGGGGTTTAGGGTTTAGGGTTTAGGGTTCAGGGTTCAGGGTTCAGGGTTCAGGGTTCAGGGTTCAGGGTTCAGGGTTCAGGGTTCCGGGTTCAGGGTTCAGGGTTTAGGGTTCAGGGTTCAGGGTTCAGGGTTAAGGTTGGAGGGAGCAAGGTTCCGGGGTTTCAGGTCTAAGGTTTAGGGTTCAGGGTTGCGGGGGTAGGGGTTCGGGCTTGAGGTCGGTGCGGCCCTGTTTCGGCCCTTGAAGGCCTCTTTATGCAGGGCTTTCAGGCCTGGGGTGCTAATGCCCTAAAACCCTGAAAGATCCGAAAGCCCTTGCCCAAATCCTTGCGCACCCCAAACTGCAGGCACTAGCCCCTGAAATTCCTAGCTTTAGCCCTGACCAAAAAGCCACAACTCCCAGGAGCACCTCCTCTTCAGGATCTCGGACACAGGCCAAGTCCTGGCACAAATTCAGATCTTAGCTGGGTTTAGGGTGCAGGCTTGTGTGGCTTTGGACCCTTGTCTTCTGAGGGCTGAGGTTTTACTTTCGAGGGATGGCTTGAGGGTCTCTAAACCCTAAACCCTAAACCCTAAACCCTAAACCCTAAACCCTAAACCCTAAACCCTCCATTGCTTCGAGTGGCGCAGCGCCAGCCAGGCTGCACGACCGGTGGCTCCGCGTAGACGCCCGCAGCTAAAGCAGCAAGCTCCCAGAGGGGCAGCTCCACATCGGAAGAGGACCTCGGCCGAATCCTAGGGTTTTGGGTCTAGGGTTTAGGGTTTGGGGTTTGGGGTTTGGGGTTTAGGGTTTAGGGTTTAGGGTGTAGGGTTTAGGGCTTCGGGCTTCGGGTTTAGGTTGAAGGCCCAGGCCATACCGCCCCACCAGAAACACAAACGAGAGAACGACCCTAGCAGACACCGACAACCCAAAGTGCTGGGGCCTGCCAGGGCTTGGCCTCCCCAAGGGGGGTGTGAGAGAATGAGCAAGCCCACCCACGAGGAGTTGGGAGGGGTGGGGGGGGGGGTTTAGGGCTCAGGGCTTCGGCGGGCTGAAGGCTTAAGGGCTCAGGGCAGGCTTAGGGTTTAGGGTAAACCGTGACAGTGAACCCTGAACCTGAAGAGGCTTGAGAAGACGATGCCACACTGAGTGCGCAATTGGGGCTTGTGTGAAAGCAGCATAAGTAGCCGACTCGAGATGAGGTGCCGGAGAACATGTACCCTAAACCCAAAACCCTAAACCCAAAACCCAAAACCCTAAACCCTAAATCCTGAAGGGGCTTGCAAGGCTTCATCCTCAAGTCGTCAGGCGAAAGGGCCGGAAGCTCCATGTCG